ATGGCAGAGCACAGTAAATGGGCTGAATGGCCTACTTCTTCTCCTATATGGTCTAACGTTGTGTAAGTGAGGTTTGACATGTTGGATGGGGAATCGGGGAAGGGCGTTCAGCTGGGGTGGGCGGGCAGGGGATGGCAGGAATTCACCTACTACCTCCAGGAAAACTTCTTCCTCACCTGTTGCCTCACCTGTAACGTAAGGAGTTACATCCAACTCTGCAATACATCAATCAGAGGGTACATATTGTCACACAATGTGATGCAGCATCTCAAGATCTTGCTCTTTCTCCTGCTGCCTTGTAAGAAGGCACCATGAGATGGTTCTCAAATAAAGTTAATGCCTATCTTACTTCTGAAAGCTCTGTAAATATTCACTTCACCTGTCGAAGGAGCAGCGCTTCAAAACCATGTGATTTCAAATAAGCCTGTTGGACTACAACCTGGTGTCGTGTGACTTCTGACCTTGTCCACCCCAGTCCCACACCGGCACCTCCACATCATAAATATTCTTTAGCAGCACAACACAACCATGGCTTCAACCTGCAGGTTAATTGACTGGTGAGGGAACTAACAACCATCCTATATTCATTTATTCTATATTATTAAGCTAGAGAGGCTTCAGAAGAGATTTACCAGGATGTTGCTAGGTATGGAGGGTTTGAGTTATAAGGGGAGGCTGGATAGGCTGGGGCCTTTTTCACTGGAACTAGGAGGTTCAGATGTGACCTCATTAAGGTTCATAAAATCATGAAGCGGTATAGATTAGGTGGAAGGTAGGTAGCTTTTCCTTAGGATGGGGGATTTCAAGATTAGGGGAGACCTTTTTAAGGTGAGAGGAGAGGGGTTTAAAAAAGACATGAGGGGCAAATTTTTTTTACACAGAGGGTGGTTCATGTGTGGAATGAACCTCCAGAGGAAGTGGTGGATGGGGGCACAGTTATAATGTTTAAAAGGAATTTGGATAAGTACACAAATAGGAAAGGTTTGGAGGGAGATAGCAGGAACTGCAGATGCTGGAGAATCCGAGACAACAAGGTGTAGAGCTGGATGAACACAGCAGGCCAAGCAGCATCATAGGAGCAGAAAGGCTGACGTTTCGGGCCTAGACCCTTCATCAGAAATGGGGGAGGGGAAGGGGGTTCTGAAATAAATAGGGAGAGAGTGGGAGGCGGATAGATATGGGCCAAGAGCAGGCAAGTGGGACTAGTTTAGTTTGGAATTAT